CGATCCGCAGGTGTTTTATCCGACCGCAGCCAGGTCAAAACTGGCCTCCAGTTGACGCACCGTCAGGAAAGGAAAGATTACATTTTTGTTGATGTGTCATCACGTACACAAAAGTTCACAGCTGTCATTCGCAGCGTGCATGGAATTTTCAGGCCGAGCGGTAAATAGACGGCAACGCTCGTCATTTTCAGGTGCACGGGAAGCCCTTTCAGTAACATTGTAAATAAAATGCAACTGAAGTCACACAATTAAGCTGGCACAACGAGCTTCACATTGGCACAGCAAAAACGCAGTCACTCGCATTCCACAAATACATCGTTCATAACGATATGGTTTCCTCAACACTCTAATTAAGAAAGACGTCCAAACAAGTTAACAAGACCAGCAAATCCATGTTATCCATTCCACAAACGAAAACCCTCCACCCCCCCCCCTCCCTCCTGGCTGGGTGCTGCCCCGTCCCCAGGAGCCCTGTCGCCTGCGGGCGGTTAGTTTACGCGGCGCTTTTGGGCTGTCGCCGCAGTGTCTCCGCCAGAACAGAGCTGCACAGCCCTCACCGACCCCGTGCAGACTAAACAGCAGGGGCGACGACAGCCGCAAAGAGCCTCCCGACATCCCGGGAGAGAGTCGTTCAGCGACCGCAGACACCACGGCTCGGCGTGGTAACCACGGCCGGGACACCCGTGACACCGCGCCAAGCCGCCTCCCTCCCGTGAGGTCATCCCCGGACGGTGCACCGGCCTCCGAACTGTGTCAAGCGTTCGGTCGGCCTGCAGAGCTGTCCAGGTCGTTTGGCCGATCGTAAAACTCCCCCAGGTCTGTTCTGTCGGCATCTGCAGACCCCATACCTAAAACTCCTAACCGCTGTCTGAAACTGGAACCGTCTTCAAACCAAAACACCGGCCAAGTCCTCTGATGATCTGGATAAACCCGCTCGGTTTAGTCTACAGGCGGGCAGGTAAAACCCCGACGACCACCGGGGACAAAGGCAGACGATTGTGGCCGGCGTGAGACAGTCGCGGCGTGCGGCGCGGCCGTTCCCGCGACCTCGCCGCTCTCGTCGAGACGCGCCGTGATGGCCGCTTCCCACGCGGCCGGTCCGGTGTCACCATGGTCGCCGCGCCGGCACCGCCGCCGGCCGGCTGACTGACGACTAACGAGAGCAGGAAATACTGATGTCAACGGACGGACGGCTCCGCCCGCGGCCCGGCTGTTTGGAGGAGACTGATGGGCCTGTGACATGAGCGGACGGGCGCGGCCGGCTCCGCCCCCGGGCAGGTAACACCGCCGACCTGCGGTCTGCGCCTGGGAACGAAACTACATACTGACGACAGGGCTAACGACACCGGGCGGCGCGTAGGACAAAGGAGGGCGACCGTAAATACGGAGCTATCGAAAGTCCGGCGAAACTGTTGGTTAATTTCACCGCCCTCCGCCCCCACCGAGCTCTAATGCCTTTCAGAACACCAGACTAGACACCAGACCTACTACTGAATTTCCAGTAAACAAACAAAAACGTACTGACCCTTTTCAAACCACATCTTACATAAGGATCCTGCATTACGACCTCTAAAAATGCACGGCCGTTGCAGCTGAGGGGCTGCGAATCCGGGTGTTTCTCGCTGGGACCTCGATGTGAACCGGTCCGTCACGGCACGTCCAGGCGTCACGACCCGAGGAAATGCCGGACGCGACTCGGCTGGGCGTCGCCCGCGCCGCGCGGGGCAAGTGGAGCAGCCTCCGGAGCAGCCGGAAGGACCGGGCTCTCTCTATCTGACGGCTCGGACGGTAGATCGGCGGTCCAGCCACTCGGCTCGGCTCGGCTCGTGCTGCTCCTCTCGGCACGCTGCCCGCGAGAGCGGCAAAGAGAGAGGTGCACCGAGGGCGGAGCGGGGGTCAGGGACCACCGAACCGGACCTGCAGCGCTCTGAGAAACAATCGAGCGGCCGGCCGGCGCGCACCGTCACACACCGCGGCAAAGAGGTGTGCACAGCTCTCCGAGCCGGCATTGTGTCCAAATTAGCGGACGGCGCGATCACGTCATACTGCCGGCAGGCGGGCGCCGTGGCGGCACACACTCCAGTCACCGAGCCGGACCTCGACCGACGGCGTAACACATCTGCCGCGGCCAGCAGCCGCCTCAGCCGCGACCCGCCGCCAACGGCCCAACTGCGGCGCTTCCATCGGTACCGAGCCGGACAGCCCGACACACAGACAGCCTGTCTGACTCTGCTACCATTTATAGAAGTTTTATTATCACCTAAAGTGATCAGCTTCCTACCAAGTTAGGTTCATTAGCCTCACCAACCGTCCGTTCCACACTCAGTGCGATTAATTCCCATGTAAAGCCGGCCTAGCTCGGCGCACGGCCGGCCGCCTCATCCCGTCTCCAACAGTAGCCAGCAGCCGTCTATCCGGGTAACACCGAACAAGCCGATCGAGACGATAGAGCGGCTCCGTGCAGTGACACAGGGTGGCGACGCCGACAGGCAGCGCGACAGCCGGCAGCCGCCGAGGCGCTGACACGCGATAATCGTCTCCGAGCTGGGCTGCGGTGACGTCACGCCGCGGCAGACACTAATCCGACCAATCTGGAATTATCAGCCTGCAGCGGTGACCGCGGCCGTCCTTGCCGACCTCGACCGGCCCCTCCCTGGTCGGGCCGGGCCCCATGGTGCACGGCGACCTGCTCTGGCGGCCTCCCGCGCCTCCACTCCTCCCCCAGTCGCTCGGCCGGCCGACGGCAGCGGAGACTGCGATGGCTCACAGGCCGCTAACACGCCGTATTGTCGCCCGCGCAGCGGCGCGGCGTGGTTAGGTGTAAGTGCCCCGACTCGCTGCACCGATTAGAGCCCACGTTAGCACCGTGTGAGTGCGGACCAGTATCTGCTGTCTATATATAACCCACACTAACTCGAGCATCGACCATTTCCCCTCATGGCCCAGCTGTTTTCATCTACAGTCGTCCATGCAAAATGCGTATTCTACTCTGAATCTGCCATACACTGCAAATCTGAGCACCACACACCAACCCCTACCGCGCTCCCACCTTCATCTCCTCACTCCACTCTCCCCCTCACCCTCTCCTCTCCCTGCACCACCCCACTCGCCGTCGGCCCTGTCGGCCGGCCGGGCCGCGCCGCTCGCGGGCGTCGCTCGCCGGCTACCGTCCGACGCCCATTAGACACGGCCAGCGGCCCGCAGCCTTGGCGACCTTGCGGCGCCGAGCGGTCAGTGACGTCACTCCACTGCAGCTGTGACGTCACATTGCACGCCGCGCGGCGGCGCCGGGATGGAGTCGGAGGCCGGGCGGCCGATTGCGGAAGCGGCCGGTCGCGTCTGAGCAGCTGCACGGAGTGCCGCGTGACGCTTCGAAGACGCTGCAGCCGGCTGGAATGTGGCGACATGGCGCGGCACCCACGGAAAACCCGACAGCTCGGCGCGCGAGGGCGTGTTCGCTGCTTGGCCCACCACCTCCGGCTAGTGTTTAACGGCCGGACCTATCACCGCCGCCGGCGACAGAACAGCCGTCCTGGCTCCGCAGGACGCACGAGGGAGAACGGATTGCAGACACTCTTCGAACGCTATTCCGTCCATTATGTGCCATCATTCGGTCACCAAACGGAATAAACGGCTTGTGTAGTGCCCTGCCGAGTCCATCGTGACCCACTGTGATCGGTCGCAGCGCCCAGAGTGATCTGACATCAGGCCGGTCAGCCGAGGCGGGTCGGCGGCCGCCCGGAGGCACGTCACGCTCTGTGTTTGGCCCTCAGCATTCCTGAGAACACCGCGCAGTGTCGCCGAGCTTCTCCCGGGCGCTAATAAGTCCGCTGACGCCGGCCACAGCACGCTGATCCGACAGGCATTTTAACTATACACAGAGAGTCGCCGGCACATACACCCAGAGTGATGTATAGGGCTGTGGCAGTGCCAGTCATTTCACTTGTATAAACAGCACTTATGAAGAAGGAACGCAAAAGTATGCTCGGGTGTGGCGCTGGCGCCATTCATTTAGTTGATCATGTGGTCATTAGCACTGACAGTTTCAAATATGACAGGCGAGGAACGCACATTTTTATTTGCTTATCAAGATTAATGTCATGATATAACTATCACTTATATAATATTAGCCCATTAATCTAAGTGTTACTATTTTAGAATTTAAGCATACTTTAGCTCGTTTCAAACAGGCGGTCACACTAAATTTCCCGGAGATGCGCAGCTCGACGGTAATAGCAATTACGATATGCGTTTTTACCTATTGCAGCAGCAACTATGCAACCATTCAGCTCGTCATTCGCTAATGTCAAAGTCGCTAATGGGCCCAGGTGAGCTGCAAGAGTGACTGGGATTCACCACTCAGTTCACTTATGCGGCAAAGTTGTCTCCAGACGAACAAAATCCCGCCAGGAAAGTGTCGTCTTCCGGGAGGCCGACTCGTTTCCCGCCGGAGGACGCTTTCCACCCGGTGTATGCGGCTCTCCATCCTCCAGTTCGCGGCCACCCACCCACAGTCGCACGTTAGTGAGTGGGTTCTATCTTTACCGGATTTAATTTTAGCCGAGGAAACTGCAGCCGGTAAAGTTGGGGAAACTGGTGCGGCCGCCGCCGTCATTCCAGCCAGCACGTTACTCCGAGCAGACACATGATCCGTCTGCCACGCAACAGGTCCGTAGTGGCGGCGGCTCTCCGATGTCACTTGTAATGCCATTACACCAGTCAGCCCCCGCCGTACCCGCCGTACCTTTCCACGCCGGCGGCAGCGCCGTGCGCGGTGCTAGTTTCCTGTGTCCGCACCGGAGGTTGCAGTTCCCGCGCGCCGACTGTCCCGCCGCGCGCGCGTGTGCTGCGGCACAGTTTCAGCGCAGGCGTTCACAGATGCGGCCGACGCATTTCCGCCTGGCCGTGAACAGTACGGCGGGAAGGGAGGACGCGCGGAGGAAAGAGCGGTCCCGCAGAGAGCGAGGAAGGCGCCATTTGAGGCGAGAGGCAGTACTCACCCTACACCTGCACGTAATGCAGGGATTCGTCTTGATAAAGCTCAGCTGCACAATCTCTCCTTCATTAGTGCACTTCTGGAGTCTACCTGCGGGCGAGAGAGGGGGAATCAACGTCACAAGAGCACATAAAATATTTCAGCAATGTTAAATCATCCTACACAATCTTTTGATTCCGAATTTCAAGCCTTGAATTACATCCTTGTACATCAATCGCCAAAAGTTCCCCATTCAGTCTCAAACCATCAGGCAGCATGTCGGAACAGCCCAGTCTCGGCATGCGGTGGTTCAGTGATCCTGGCAACTTACTTTCATGCCACGCATGTCTGGCGGGCCCGTGCATAAATCCGGCCATAAGCCTGCCAGAGACCGGGCCAGCCAGGACTGCCGTGGACGTCCGACTGGACCGCTGACAGCGCGGAGAGGACCACGGCAGACCGTTCGGGGAATAGGTGGGTGGGTCGGGAGTGCAGAAACGCTGTGGCTGTCTCCTCACTCAGGAGCTGAGCTGCTTCTAGGTATGAGCCCCAGTCTGGTGCAATGGAATCACATGCCACAGCGTGGAATAAGACATCTCCAGACAGGAGAATCCGGAAACTGCCACAGTGAAACGCCCAAGCGACCCACGGCGTCGCTGACGGTGGTCTGTCCGTCAGATGAAACTGGCAGCCGGCTGGCCAAATGACACCGACGGCCAGTCACCCTGCAGAGTGGCACTGCTCGGCCCCCCAGCAGTTACAGGTCATTCACACCATGCCACTCACTGGTATAGTATGTAACTCAGGACACTCCCTGAACACGCGCTACTCGAGGTCGGCACTGTCCCTCGTCACGTTACCGCAGACTTCAGCGGAATGCTCACGACGACCGGGGAAAATCCCTCTTAGTTGGGGCGCGGCCTAAACCATCACAGTACAATCCATCATCAGTTTAATACTCATGACCACTGACCAGACAGACCATCAGCTGGCCGAGATTCACGAGACAGACCACACGGCTAGCCCGGTGTTACGCTTCGACTGCACTCGGGAGTGCTGTTGAAGTATGCGGGAGGGGGCACAGTACAAATCACAGAAGATATTTAGTGTGGGTTTCCAGTCAGCGTGGGTTTCGTCTGGGTTTCTGGAAGGAGTCGTCTGACCAGCTATCGATTCTGTATTCCTTGGGTTGTTGAGCACAGAATTAAAATTGACGAAAAATAAACAATAAATAGGACAGGAAAGAGAGGGAGAGAGAGAGAGAGGGAGAGAGAGAGAGTGAGAGAGAGAGGAGAGAAAGAGAAAGAGAACGAGAAAGATAACGAGGGGATGGAGGAGGGAGAGAGACAGGCGGGACAGAGAGGGGCGCAGAGGGGTGCGGTTCTTCCCCGCCGCCGCACCCGCCGTCGCCGTATCAATTGTGTACTGCTCGGAGTACACAGTGTGGCAGACGGGACGTGGCAGTGTTTGCCGTCCCAGGTAAACGATGTCTGTCTCGGCAGCCTGGTCTGGCCGACACCTGTGCTGCGCCACGGCGGAACACGGCGACCTTATGGCGGGAGGTCAGTCCCAGCAGCCAGCAGGGCGACACTGACCGGCGGGAGGGAGGGAGGGAGGGAGGGAGGGAGGGAGGGAGAGAGAGAGAGTGAGAGAGAGAGAGAGAGAGAGAGAGAGAGAGAGAGAGAGACAGAGACAGAGACAGAGACAGAGAGAGAGAGAGAGAGAGAGAGAGAGAGAAGGAGAGAGAGAGGAGAGAGGAGAGAGGAGAGAGGAGAGAGGAGAGAGGAGAGAGGAGAGAGGAGAGAGGAGAGAGGAGAGAGGAGAGAGGAGGAGAGAGGAGAGAGGAGAGAGGAGAGAGGAGAGAGGAGAGAGGAGAGAGGAGAGGGGGAGGGGGCAGGCGTGGAATTCCCGAGGGGCTACCGTCGTGCGGAGATCCACATCAGGGGCGGGCTGATTGATCACGATTATTAATTTGCGGCGAGTCGGTTTAGCAGTTTGTCCGGATCAGAGTGTATGACACAGCGATTGAGGTTATTGGACAAAACATGCTGCAAACAGGACCTGCTAGATGTGGGAATTCCGATTTTTAGTACTACCGGTAATGATAATAGGTGATGTTCACTTATCGCTACATCCTCTCCATTAAACACCTGGCTGCATTTAACGACCAATTTGATCTCGAGGACTTTGCAAACATTCATATTTTTACTGGTTGCTTTCACCCATTAAGTACACCAAATATATGTTAGGATGTGACGTTGAGATTATGCAGCGTGCTTCATTAATATTGAACAGTCATCACCGGCCATTACGAGCGTCATATTTGGTCTGCCACGAGCTCAGTAATGAGTTACGGCGAGACGAGTTCTGTTCAGAGCAATAAAACAAGAAATATGGCAGGCGATGGTCAGGGGGATTTTCATTGGGTTAGTCATAAAATGCACGCACGCGGCGATCAGTTTCGTTGCATTTTTATTTTCCCCGTGGCGAGGCAGCGCTTGAGGCTAAATAGCTGCACTTGCTGGCGTGTGCACACTGCACATGACACGTAACTACACGCCTATATCAAGAGAAACAACGGAAATTGCTTACGCTGAACACCTAAACCACTCAACAGCAGGCTTTATTCAGAGCATGATTGAACTACTGTAACCAAACGAGCGGATGCTGATAAATTCAGACTGTTTGTTTACCACCCCCTGCCACTCCCAGAGACCGCCGTGCGGTCTCGCCCCCCGTGCCGCCGCGCCGAGCCGCTCGCGCTGCGGTCGGGTCGCGTCGCTCACCCCCGGGGAGGTCGGGTGACGCCGCCGGCGCTGCGGTCACACCGGCATGTCTCCGCCGCGCCACCCACGCCTCCCGCCGCCCCGTTCGCAGACGGCATTTGGCAGCGCCGCCGCGCCGCATTGAGGAGCGGAGTCTGGTGCGCGCCGCCCCGGGCCCACTGAGTCAGAGGCCGGCTAAATTAAGGACAGCTTAGCCGGCAGTATGATTTCAGAGATATGACGATGCAGCCCCACAACGGCCGCCCTTTGTTAAGTTAATGTTGCTTTCAGATTGGACATACCAACAACGGCAATGGGATGGCCATTCGCCTAGCGCCATCTTCCGTGTTATTTTTAGCCCGCAGAAATCACTTAGCAGTGTTGGAGGCTCGTGAAATGTGATGTAACCGCTCGGCTAGCAATCTTTTACGCCGAAGAGGCCATCACCGCCACAGCTTTGCATGCCTGCGCCCCATCAGGCTGATGCCGGTGATTAAGCGGTGACGAGGGCACATTTTAATTCCACCGTAACACATCTCATTTTGGCCCGCTCCCCGATTCTCCCTCGCGGTTACGGCATTGATATTGCGAGGCTCGTCAATTTCAGTTCCTCCGCTCAGCAGCTCATGGCAATAAATACTCGCAAAATAATCATCGGCGCGGTGCATTGTGAAAGATCGATCAATTTCACGTCGAACGGAGATTTGTGGTGCCGCCGCGGCTGACTCACAAGACATTCCTACTCGCCGGCTGGCAGACGAGCCGCGTTTCGAGCACAACCGGACCTCATCGTCATGCACAGATGGAGCGGTCCTCCCCGGCACCACGTGGAACGACACCGGAGTGCCTATCCCGTCACCGCGCCGTACGCTTCAGCGACCAGAGAAGCTCTCCAGTGTGCCGTGTCCAAGCTGTCAGCGATCTAGCTAGCCAAGATCCGGACGCCGCGCCGCTATACCTAATCGCAGTCAATCGTCTATGAGCGTACTTTCAAAGACACGCGGAATGCGGTGTCAAAACACCAGGTACGCGGTGTCAATGACACGCGGAATGCGGCGGTGTCGGTCAGCCCGACTGTCCGCGCGCGGTGACACGCTGCAAGCCCGGGGCGTGGCCAGTCGTGGTGGCTCTGATCGAACCCAGCACACCGTTCTCGGTGTGCCGAGATGGCGCTCGACAAATATTTACCCGATCGAGCATGTAGGGAGGCTTGTCGTACCGAGTTTCCAATCGGACGGTGAGCCAACAGTGACACGTCATTTTAAGTTTGAATACTACCCGTCAATGACAAGGAAGCGATTATCATACTGTCCTATCATCGCGCGGAAGTTTGGCCATTTGCAAGATGTGCAAAGCAAACTGTTCAACTAAACTTTGTCAGTTTGGATATTTTGACAGCCAACAAGATTTAAACACACTCGAGTCGAGACTGTTGAACAACGTATCACGCCAAACTCGCTTAACTCAGACACAGTCGTCAGACACAGTGGTCGGCCAGTTGAGGCGACTGTCTGGTAATCGGTTTAGCTGTCTGTCACCAGATGTGATAGTCGTAGTCATGTTTGATTGCCTCGGAGACAGCCAGTCTGATCTCCCGTGTCAGGCGAGATTAAAGAAATCAACTCCGCTCGGCTACGTCCGCGGCGAGCTCGTCCAGCTGCCAACTTCAACAGGGCGCGTCCCGAGACGGCTCGACAGAATGTTGGACGTTCGTGAGACGCGTAGGTCAGTTATATACAGGGGCGGATCGCGGCCTCTCAGCCCGATACTCATTGACGGACCGACTGCTCAGCTGATGAATGAACTGTCGCAAATGTATATCACAGGAATGCAATCACAAAATAGCTGGGAGGCCGTCCCTCATATCACGGCTACATATAAGCAAATGGTTCAGAACTGATACACATCACGTCAAGTTATGTATTCCATAGAAACAAACCTGCAGTATACACCACATTATCAATCACATGCCAAATGCAGAACTTTCTTAAGAGGCACAAATCCGCCGCTCTATCTTAATTCAAATTTTTCCTTGAGGAGTTCTCGACCGCTGACTTCCCCGGCCCGCTGGCTGACCTCCGGTGACCCCCGGTGACCTCGAGCTGACCTCGGCTGCCGACAGGGACGGCCGGGACCTCCGTGCTGCCGCGCCGTCTCGTGTCGGCCGTGTGCGTTTTTGTGCCGTCTGCGCCGCTCGTCGACGGTCGTTCCCACCGTCGCGCGCCGATACCCTATCGGAAAACGGCACGACGGCGGCGACGGCCGGCGCGCCGCTGCCGTCTCCCCTAATTGGCGCTTTTTACCCGTGCCCGGCACTCAGCGACGAACGTCTATCTAATGCAATCTGTGTGTCGTTGTGATAGGCTCGGCGGGGCCGATAACATTCAGGGAATAGCTGAGGACGCCGCCGCTGATCGGTTCCGATCGGCCGATCAGCCGCTCGGTCGCGTGGACCGGGAACGGGTGAAGGAGACGACCGAGGACGGATGGTCATGACCGGGAGATGGGACAAGATGGTAGGACGGAGTGGATGGGACGGGCAGGCGAGCCGAGGACGGGGTGGACAGGGTGGGGAAGAGGAGATGATATATGTAATGGTAGGGTGGTCGAATGATGGGGTGGTAAGATGGTGGGTGGTGGTCAGGAGACGACACAAGTAGGGAAATGAAACGGCCGTAGTTGCCATGGCGCAGCCGTATTATGGGAGGTTAACGGTTTTGGTGAAAATGAAATGAAATGAGACCTGAAAATGAAAGGGCAATGGGATGGGATGAAGGGCAATGAGAATGGGATGGTGGGACGATGGCCGCAGAACAGCAGACAGAAGGGGTCGGAAATGATGAAGAAGATAGTGTGGAGGTTGATGGACGATGGGAGACAATTCACTCCCACAGTTCGTCCCACCGAAAGCTCAAGGCCGCAGCCAGTTGAAGACATGGTCAGAGGACAGGACAGACTACCAGCTCACCCGCGTTCCACTGTGGAGCGTCGCGGACACTCGACAACCATTTATCAACGACGCTGAGAGAGCCGACAAGCTCTCCAGTCGTGACACTGCGCGCTTTTTGCTCGAACCAGCCCGCGGACCACTCTGCGAAACGTCGGCAGTTGGACGACATGAGCTGTGCCCTGGCCGACTGCGCCACCGTATCGCCGCATCTCGATGGCGGCGCCGGTACTGGCCGCCGCTCGCCGAGCCCGTAACCGGTGAGATACTGGACGCCGCCGCGCCGAGAACGCGACCGGGCATTCCCGACCAGCGCCAATATGCAAACGAAAGCAAGCTGGGCCCCATTAGAGATTCCGATACGGGCTGCAGTGCCCTGGGTCGCACCGTTTTATAGTACGATTGGTCACGAACGGCTCGGCTCGGGGGCCGGCGCAACAAGTTTGCCGTGAGCTTATCGGTGCTGGATGGCTGGGCCAGGAGCGCGCTATCAACGGCCAGGGGCGCATATCCCGGCCGGCAGCTGTGAAACGATAGCCCTGTCCGCCGGCTTGTTAGCGCAGCCAGTGCAGGCATAGTCATCTCAGGGTCGGCGATGGACTCAAATAGCTTACCACGACACAATCAGATCAGCTGAGCAATGAGCATGCCCAATGTTCACAGACAAATTAAAGTCGTGATTAAGCGATCTGGAAGTTTCACATATCTTAGATGATTGATATTCAGTCGTTGGGCAAATGAGACATGCTCATGATCAACAAGGTAAAATTTGTGTGTTCAAAAGGATGCTTGCTTGGAATGTGGTAGTCTAAACAGGTTACTAAGCTGGATGACAAAGCATTTCACTAAATGTTAACAAGTGATGTTCTGTTACTCTATCGGGGTGTCAGCAAAATTACATGTTACGTCGTTATCACATACCGGTGACGTTTGAATACAGAAGGTCAGCTTTCTGTAACTTTAGATTTCTGATTCAGTCTCATATTACTTGTGCCTGTATTTACTTCCCTTTTCACCACACCATGCTGATTACTGCTAATTCACATATCCCGGGTAACCAAACTGCAATTTCAATAGGACAGTTACAGTTCCGCCCGTGATCCATCTTCCGCCCTGACATGGGACACCGCCACACCGCTCGGCCCCGAGAGCGTACGATAATTGACTCGCGGGACCCCAAAGCAGAACGTCTCCATCCATTAAGCCGGCTCACCAAATCGGCTTACAGGGGTGATCCACTCGCGACGATAGGCGACTTCAATCGTCCCGCTGGTAGTCAGAGGAACAAAATGGAGCGCCCATCGGCGACCGGTGGTCACTGGGACACGGGGATGTCGGGAGTCGCGATCGGTCGGTCACACGCTCGGCTCCTAATACGGTGGACAGCCAGAGCGGGAACGATGGGACCTCAAAGTCCCAGCGTTTTGAGGAGTCCGCATCACGGAGTTCGTTATGTAATGTATAACGCGGTGACATTGGCGCTGACGTTGAATCGCTGCTGAGGACTTACCTTTGGGAAAATTGAAAGTGGGTGTGCTGCCGTGAGCTGGGACCAGCAGCAGGACAGTCCCCAGCAGGCACCGCAGTGCCCACAACGGCGACATCTGAGAACAGGAACACAACCGGGTCAGAGCGGGTCAGACCAGGTCGGCCATACATTGCACAACGTGGTCAAAACATGGCACAACATGGTACGGCGAGTCAGAGCATGCAAGAACAAAACAGAATGAGATGGGTCAGGAGTTGAAGACAGTAAATGATGAATAAATTTTGGTTAGGGTCGGTTAGAATCTAGTATAGCAGGAGAACAGGACAGATCAAATGACAAATGAATACATTTAAGACACAGGAAAGAGCATATCGACACCTTTTTTAAACCCCACATCTGCTCTCCCGTGATTTTCCGGGAGGCACGAAAGATTTCCTTTTAAAAGTGTCCAATCGTCCGACCCTGATCAAATATGTGTGTTCGTAGGCCTGTTCTGGTATTGCTTTATCTGCCAAGACAGACAAACTTGAGAAAAATCGAGTGATTGTACCTTTTTTTTGAAGGTCTCTAACCAACTTGTCTGAAATTCACCGGAGAACAAATGTGGGGTTTGAAAAAAAGGTGTCGATATGTCACACGTTGTATCTGTCCTGGTCATCGTGAGACACGTTACGATATACCAGCAGATCCCCGAGCGGTGTAATTTCTGTCTGTGGAATACGGCCCAGATCAGGCCTGGCGCGCTCCGATCGGCCCCATCCAGAGCCGCTCGTGCCACTTGTTTATGTGGTTTATATCGGGGCCATCCGGCCGGGCGGGCGGTGTGGACGGACGTCTCGTCACAGCGCGCCTATCTGTAGCACACGCCACGGACCGGATAGCGATGGAATTCGGCGACTAAATTTGAGATGTTAGAGAAACCATGGACGGAGCTATCATCTGCCGGGTAAAATAGTGATACCCCGGCACAACAGAAGTCCTTTGATATAAGACACTGGTTACAAGACGAGAGGTCCTAGCCACACAATAGAGGTCTTTCGACTTACCGCCATCAACGTGAGAATCAAGGCGAGCAAAAACAACGTCTGCACCTTATCCCATAGAACAAAGCGATACTGCATCTCCACGCCCGAGTAATTTTCATGGCTCCATATTAATCTAAAAACTGCTGCGAATTAAGCGTTCCCGGTGAATGCAGATGGCCGGTAATTTGCCGTCATGAGGAACAGAGCCTCATGTTGCAGCCGAGCCTGATAGCCACTAATTTGTTCGCATACATTAGACGTATACATTAACGGAATCGCCGCCGCTGATAAAGTGGCGACAGAGCCGGCGATGAGCGATTCCAACCGATATGCTTGATAACGCTTCACGATGTCTAAATGCCCACCAAAAGCCATTAGTCCGAGAAATGTGCCAATACACAGCGATTGAAAAACCTCAATGTCTTGTCTCGCATTGAATTATGTAACGTGTAATGCATTTACCCATAATAACTCATTAGAAAACAAAACGCTGACTCTCTTGACGACGTACAACGGCCCATTGCCGTGGTAATGAAGTACCTTGCAGGCTCCCAGCTACCTTCCAAAACTACCCGGCAAAGTATCGGCAGAGTCCCTCGCTATCCGACAGTCCTCTGATCCAGAGTCCACCACGCGACTATCGCCGATAACCTAAGTTTTTGAAGTTTCACGATAAACATATGCTGAGTACGTGGCGTTGGTTACCTCACTCTGGCAGGCGCCGGTGACTGCCGCGGCTCGGACACCGCTCCTCACACTGAACACTAGCACACGCCGCCAGCGCTGCCGACACTGCGGGCACCGCGCAGCCACCGGCTCCACTGCTGTCGCTGCGGCGGCTGGCCAGCGACTGCCGGCCGCCCAGCGCCGACCGCCGAGCGCCGCCCGCCGCCGCCCGCGGCGCCGTGCCCCGCGCGCGCGCGCGCTGTGTGGCCCTCGATGCCGCCCCCGATAGCCGGCCGTAATGGGCCGCCGGCTCGTCAGCCGCTCCGTCGATGACGGATGACGGCATTTGTCTTGTCGGCGGCTCTGGGTCGCGGCGCGACAAACTGGCGGCCACGCCCGCGCCGCCGCTACCTGGCTGAGAGCGGCGCCGGCCGGCCGGCCCGTCTGTCCCCTGTCAGCGTACCGCGGCCGGCGGCACCGGACCCCCGCCACGACCGCCCAGACCGACCCCCGCCGATGTGTACACAGCGGTCCAAACCTTTTGATTAACCACCTTTGAGGGTCTCTGTGAGGATATGCGATGGGATGATATGCCGGTGTCGTCGCATTGATACGGGCTCAAGCTGGGCTAACGGATAATCCCCTGGCCGTGTGAATAAAGTGACGAATTGTACCATGATCCGCGCAGGTCAGTTATATAAAGTGGAATCAACAAATGTCTGTAGTTATCACTGTACCGCTCGTCGTCTACTGCATATCATGTGTAGCAATGGATTGGTGACGACTTGCAATACGAGACACCGAGACATCGTAGCACATTCCAGCGAGTGATAAACATCATAAGACACGGCATTAGCCGGCGCCGGCGCCGCACCCTCGCCGACGTGACGTCACTCGCAGCCGTAACGTCATCAGGTGGGTGGTTCGATTACCTCCTTTTACGGCCGAAAACGTTTCCAATATTAGTTAACAGCGACTAACAAATACGGCGACTCGGGAGTCTGAGGCACTGTTGACTCAGCCGTCACGTGCCGGTGCTTTCGTCACGAGATTCCGCTACTAATCTGGAATTACCGCGAGAGCTGCGGCTGATATAGCTGTTCCCGTGACCAGCTCAGCCCACGGAAAGGGCTGCTGTCTCCATCACAGCGCTCCACCCACGCGGCGGCCGTAACATAACATCGCCCGGCGACCGTGGACACTGAGTAAGACGGGCGAGCGGCTCTGTCATCCCGGCGTTCCGCGAACACCGTTTCCGCTCTCCTCTCATCCTCCAGAGCGAAGGGCGCCGCCGCTTCCGGTCTCAGCATTGATCTCTCTCGAGCTGCGGCCGTGCGATACGCTCCCTCTGTCATCACGCGCACTGCTCTTGGCTCGCGCACCGCCCGGCGAGCGTCTGCCTCAGATCGGCCCGGCCTTGACGGCGGCCCGGAGACGGGTGTGTTTTGGCCCGCGCCTGTCCGTGCCGTCGAGCCAGTTCACTGGTATTGCGTCCACTTTGGTCCTGTCCGGCTCTCAACAGGCTCTGACAGAGCCGACGCGGCCAGCTGGATGGGTAAGCGGGGCAGTGCACTGTAGGCCGGCAGCCTGAAAAAGCGCTAGAAATTCCCCCAAACTGACTGTCCGCAATATGAACAAAATAGGTATCATTTAATCCCAAATTGATCGAAGAATACGATTCCGATGCTAGTTTTGGCCTAAGGTCAAAATTGAGGTCGTCAGTTGTCACCAAACACAAGACAATTTAGACTCTCTATAGGCCACCACATTTACCGATTTTAATGATGAACTTTAGTGGTAATTTATTAGTTGACCAATCGTCGTTTTGAACGAAATTTCCTGTCAGACTAGTTCAGGGCACTGTTGTTCACTGTGCCAACATCATTCTGACATATTGCATCGCTTTTCTGCAAGATATGCTAGCTGTTTGCAAGCAGCTGCAAGACGTAATTTAAAATCATATCCAATTTTTTAATTAGACTTTTATAAAAACGTTATTTCGAGCCGCTAAAAATGAACATTTCATACTAGCCTCTGATTACTCATCTTTTGTTCCATATAGGTGCTTTGCTGCTTTTCCCTGCTACTTTTCGAGATATGCGCCAGTAAACCACATGATGTAGGGGCAATTGTCACCTCGCCGCTCTACTGAAGGCCCGGCGCTCTTTAAAACGCTGGAAGTTGTGAAAAAAAAAACGCTTATAATCTAAATGAAATATATGTCCCTGAGCTCAGAATTGATCAACGCACACAATGCTGTCAACATTTCTGGGCCAAACTCAAAAATTCAGTCATTATTAACCCCTAAACACAAGTCAGTGATAATGAACAACAACTTGCTCTTTAGTTAGACTTTTTGAGAAATGTTATTTCGAGCCGTTAAAAATGGCCATGCCATACAAACCACCAATCATCTTTCTGTCATGCCCTACTCGCAATTTTTGCTAATGCCTGCTACTCTTCGAGGTCACGTGACCTCACCATTAAAAGTGAATGGGGAAATAAGGAAACTGTTGTTTTTGCGCATGGAATGATTTCAAAGTATCTCGAGCACACGGAATCGTGATTTCGTGCACTCCTTGCAAGATCCGATGCTTTACTTTTGCATTTTTGACCTTCCGTGACGTCATTTATGACGTCACACCGGTCATAGGAGTTTCTCGTCAATAACTCATGATCAAATTGAGCCAGCGACTCGGGAAAGCCACCAATGGACTCGGGAAGACCTCCCGAATCGAATGATATGCGATACGACCTCCTTCGATTAAGTTCGTGGCCTGATGGGCTCTGAACTGACCTTGACTCGAGGTCAATACCTTAAGTTGACCTCACCCGAACAAAAAGTATACCATTCGACGCGCCTGAGCCAGGCGAACACGATGGTGCAAAAATCGCTGCTCTGCGGCCATTTTTTGCGAAATTATTTTCCAAAAACCAAACCCTACCTTGGGATTTTTGACTTCACCTCAGAGGTTACCGGTTGACCTGGGACCTTAAAATCGGGTATCAATCGTTCCGCCTTGAAACGGCGCACACGCTTGTTTTTTCCGCGAGGCTCTAGCTCCATTAGGGGCGAAACGGCAAAAAGGGGTCGTACCAACCCTCCCCCCTCGGCCGGCCGAGGGGGTGGGGGGTCCGACAATAGGTCCGGCGAGGGTGAAGCAGCCCCACTTCGTTTTTAGCATGTTTGCTTGTCACTGAGATCAACAACTCAATCACAAATAATTTCTAGCACTTTTCCGGACCCCCGGCCCAGTGTGTGCAGTGGAGCGGTGGGAGGAGGGGAAATGGGCAGAGGAGAGGCGGAGATGCCACGACGTCAGTACCAGAGCGACCGTTCTGCACCGCCCTCCCCACTCGCCGTAAACATTCAGCGCCGCGCTGTAGTGACGCGCGTGCGGCGTTTCCTGCGGCGCGCCGCGTATGTCTACAGTGCGCCAGGAGCGGCGCACGTCACCGCGCCGGGTGACCTAACGACGCCGGCATCTCGGCCGGCCGTATCGGCTCGCCGAGAGGCCCGGCGGGTCGGAGCGCGCCGGGTCACCGCCACACCGGCGCCGTGCTCCCGCTGCTACGGCCGGGTACGGTCCAGTACGGCCGAGTACGGTCCGGCACCTCCACCGCCCAGAGAACAGCCCTCGCCGCCGGCCGCAGCGCCGACCGTCTGCAGCGGGCCGAATCCGGGCGCAGTGGGGTCGAGTCGACTGAAACCATGCGGAACTGCGGCCTCCCCACCCCGCGCCGAGGAAGGTGGCGAGTGACGCCGATCAGCGCCGCTGCCCGTGCGACCTGCGCTGCGCCACCGACACGGGGCAGACGCGCCAAACAATGGACGACGAGGTCAGACGAGACGGCACAGCGCCGCCAGCCGACGCGGCAAACAGCACCCGAAGAGCAATAATCACTGGGGTTGTCTGCGCGCCGGCTTCTCCGTACGACCTGGGCGATCGTAGCACCGCGACGAGTCATAACAAAGCGGCTCTAACGCCGCCCGAAGCATCCGCTTCGGCATCTGGAGGCAATTCCGTCGCCAGAGACGGTTTCGCCATCAGAGCCGATTCCTTGAAAGATGGCATGATGTCGAACATAGTTCTGGTTGCAGATTCGACAGCCGGCCTGTCCCAATGTGTAGACCCTACCGGAGCTGTGGTTTCGTCTCCCGGCGCCCGTCAGTCGTCCGTGACGCCGATCTCAGCACGACGCACGGCTCCGGCACATTCCAGTCCAGTCCCGGTCGCGACAGTCGCGGTCATAGTGGCACTGGCGCTCAGACAGCGCTCACGCACTGGGGCGCTATCTGAGGGCGACATCGGCCGGCCGGCGGCGTCGGCCCGGAGGAGGTCGGCGCCGGCGGTCCGCCCGCCCCGCCCGGCCGCCGTGCGCCGGTGGTCGCCGCCGCGGCCTTGCCCAGCGCTGGTCATTACCATACAGCTGAGTGGCGCGGCCCGGGCGGTGCGGACCCACCACGCGCGCCGCCGGGACCCGGAGACACGGCGCCAGCAGCCGGAGCCAGCAGCCGGAGTTGGCGGCAGCCCGTGCGGAGGCGGAGACGGCGCCGCCCGATCGGTCATGGGTGCACGCACCGGTCGGCCGGCGCCGAGACGACGCCAGTCGGCGCCACCGACGTCACCAGCTGACCTGACATGGTGACGGGAGAGGACAGGATGTGACGAGACGGGACGACACCGGACAGGAATCGTCTGCCCGGTGAGACCCCAAGACGCATACGATAATGCGTTTCTTGTTCAGCTAGGACAATCACCCCATCGTTCGACCTCGGCGAGAGAACCAATCTCCTCAATCAGATCATACATAGGTGGTCTCCGGTTCGAGTTGATCGCCGGGCCGCGTGTCGCGGTTATTTGTTTTATCGGCCGGGTCCGGAAAGGCCATGTCCGCCGCCCATTATCGCGTCACAGCTCCCTAATGACCGCCGTTCGCCAATCGGCTAATCTGACTGATGAGCCAAACACTGGCTCCTCAGACCGGCGGTGTGCAACGCGACTAACGACCTTACCGCTGACGGGAACCGGTGCATACAGCGGTGATTATTGCGTGAGGAGCCATCTCGGGTGTAGCGATCTCTGATGATGTGTGTGTATTATGTGCGGATGATTCGATGGGTCGGCATGTGTGGGGGAAAAATGAAACACTAACATGATGGATATCGAAGTGGTTACCTAGGAAGCTAAGCGCTCAAACGGTTCCGACCCACGTTGATCTGCCTTTGAAGCGTACTTAGCGCCTACCTACTCAGGCAGTTG